GTTGTGAGCATTTCCTGGCGCACACTCCTTGGGCGGAGACTGCTGTGTAAGTCCCCTCTCTAAGAAGACTCAGGGGTTGTTCTCTGTGCGTTTCTGACCATGGTCTTGCTGAGGGATGCTACTGACCTCTCAGTCGGCTCTACCATCTAGAACTGTAGTGTATATCTCCTATGGCTAGGTTCATCCTCACTCGCGGCTTCAGCCTCCTGGCACCGCAACTAGCAGTTCTCTACGTCTTCTACTGGGTGGACCGTCGCCTCCATGCGAGTTTCCGGTGGGGAAGGTCTCTTCACCATATGCTCCTTAGCGACCCGTGTGTTCAGGTATAACTGGGATATCGACTTGTCCATGGGAGATACTGTGTGCCTGCCACCGCCGCCGACACCCTTTGCTGCGGGTACGGTGGGCGAGCCATCTTTTGGGTTTGCTGAGACAGCAGCTGAGTCTCCTTACTGGTCCGAAGGTCGGAAAGAGAGTCGGCCTGAGCCGGTCGAATAGTGATCATATCGTCAACTGACAATATTGTAGATTGTGTGAACGTTTGCTGGCCTTGTGAGATAATAACACTGTTATACCATTGTTGTGAGCTGTACATATCTCAAGGAATCTGTATGGTTGATTGTCAATTGCTAAGGGCTTAACAGGGTCTTTCCTCGACTGTAGCTTTTTATGGCTAGGGTCGGGCCGCATTCCGCTTCTCGAGAGGAAAAAAGTGACTTGTGATGAAGGTGATATTGTGAATCCCTTGGAGCCTCTGAAGAATCAGCAGGACTGATATGCAGTAGTAACATCTGTACAGGTGCTCTCTGTCACTTGCAGTAGTACTAGCACCAGGGGGTAGGTCAAAGGCCATAAGCAGCCCTCTGGTGGGTGTTGGTTTCTTTCTAGAGGCGCGAAATCTCCCGACTAGGAATTCTCGAGCGTCAGGGGACGGTGATGTCCAATTCGACAAGCAAGGTCTCATAGCTGGACAGAACCAGCAAGGTAGAGCCAGATATCGATTCAACTTTCTATAGGTTACAGTTGCTGCGGGAAAATGGGGCAGGGTCGTTAGGATGCATGTCGCCGGTGTTCTTTCGGCAGTTCCCTCTCGTGGTAGAGCTGCGGTTAACACAATTTTTGTATTGTAAGGAGCACCAACTTCGGTGATATTTCTATGTTTTGATATTCATATAGCTTCATTTACAAGGAACAGCGGCTCAGGGGCTCTGCGGAGTTGTGACTACAATGCCTTCATAAGCTACGACCAAACTCTGCTTACATCGTGTCGAAGCTTTTTCGTGCAGTGTTTACAGGCACAGTCAAACTAGTCCGTGTTGACTAGTAGTATTTTGGGTCTCAGCAGAGCGGCTGCAGGAGAGCTTTGAGGAAGCTTTTGTGTCACTCAAGGCAGATTCGAATCCTGAAGGACTTTCGAGATCTTTATTGGGTTCGGTTATCAAGTACCCACGGCAGGGTCCAGAGTTATCATAGCTGATCGCCAGTTCGCGCATCTTCTCGCTGAGCTCTTGAAAGGTAGATAGATGCTTTGTCTGTTCTTGGAACAGGGAAGAGCATCGATTCGATTGCTTGGAAGTGGCAAGGTGTCGTGACCTGAGGCGAATACAGCTCCAAGGTTCCGTTGTTGTCCTCGCGTGTGCTTAGGCACACTTTCGTGCTTATCACAGCTCAGATCTGGGCAGTAGGTGAATCAGCTC